CCAAAATCATAGGTGACCATATACTCTCACGATATGATGAAAGTCAGACGAACCACGGAATAATCAATGCAGAATTTCATCGTCTTCTGGAACAATATGCAGAATTCAACTTCCTTTACGCTGATGCATCCAAAACTATAGACGGAGTCGAATCAGCTTTCACTATCGCAGGTTTTCAAGCTTCGTTCAAACTATCAAGAGAGAGTACGGTATTCACTGGAGAAACATACGCTATATGGAGAGTCTTGAAGTACATAAATATTTAAAAAATTGGGAAATGCCTCATTATAACAGATTCCATGAGAAGTCTAATCAACAAGTTCAAAAACATGAAAAATAGAGATAAAGGCCCTAAAAATATAAGCGATAGCTCATTCGATTCGGAATCACCTCTGGAAAAAAATTTTTGAAGGATTTTGGTGCAGGTAGAAAATTGCAATTGTTATTAACAAAATAAGATTTAAAAAAATGGTATTTAGTTTTTTGTTAATGATTCAAAAATATCAATTTTGAAAAAAGCTCGTTAAAGAGGAGGAAATGCAAAATTATTTCTTAACTAATTATATTTGAACAATCGTAATATGAAAAAATCAATTTGAACAATTAAAAATTGAAATTAGGGAAAATATTTTTTTAAATCATAATTATCTCTAGACAACAAAAAAGCAAAAAAAAATTGTCGAAAATATTGAATTTCTCCATTTGTTTGAAACAATTTAATAAACAAATCACGTAAAAAGTTCATATCCTATGTTAATAACTGCCATTGTTCAATGTGAAAACAGACATAGCAATAGTTATAAAAAATCATAATTAACACATTATTAAATTTTTATGAACTTTCATCGCAGGACCGTATGAAGTATAAATATATATCAAAAGGGCTCCACGAAGTTTAAAATTCATAGGCCAATTATTCATACCTTTTATTCCATTATTAATGCCAACGGAAATTGGGAAAAAATTTGTTACTGAACAATTGAATATACTTTTTTTCTACGGGACTCGATTCACTCAAGTGTTGAGAAAAAAAAATTATTTCTTTTGATAAACTCTCTCTAGCGGCAGCGCGCGCATGCCGTATCAGCCGCGCGGAACCCTATTTTCAACGTCAAATTAAAATTATAAATAATGGAGATAGAGTTTCCGGAAGCGGGATTTTTTTATCGGAAATTTCCTCCTCTTTAACAAGCTTTTTTCAAAATTGCTTGAATATTTATATTTTTCGAGTTATTAATGAAAAACTAAATACCATTTTTTTAAATCTTATTTCGTTAATAACAATTGCAATTTCTTACCTGCACCAAAATTCTTCAAAAACATTTTTCTAGAGGTGATTCCGAATCGAATGAGCTATCGCTCATATTTTTAGGACCTTCATCTCTATTTTTCATGTTTTTGAACTTGTTGATTAGACTAGAGTGCTCTTCTGGCAATAAATCTATCAAACACCCAAAATCCCATTATACTTTCCATCAAACAAGAGCTTTATGTACACAAACAAAAGCAAGCAGGAATCAGATTCATGTGGGTCCCATCTCATGTGGGCATCCCAGGCAATGAAAGAGCAGATAAACTGGCGAAAGCAGCCATCTCAAATCCATTGAATTATAGTGAACCCAAAATTAATCACATTGACCTGAAATCTTTCTACAAACAAGAAATCATCAACAATTGGCAACATCAGTGGTACAATTCCACCTCAGAGCTAGCAGAAGTAAAAACATCAGTACTCCCATGGAAAAATATCCCCAAAAACAGAAGACATCAAGTTATCCTGACTCATTTGCGACTGGGACATACCCGCCTAACACATGAATACCTCATAGCAGGTGGTGACAAACCAAGATGTGAAGTGTGTGGGACAGACCTGAGTGTTAAACACATTCTGATAAAATGCGTGCTATATCACATCGACAGATTTACTCATCATATCCCACAAACAATGAAAGACATACTTGGTGAAAATTGTGATACTGAACAATCGATAGCTTTCCTCCAAGATATACTCATTTTTCAACATTATATGAATTAATTTTTCAAATATCATATACTGATTTAATCATTTGTATTATGCCGTCGCTAATAACCCTGGGGGTTGATGCAACTTTCTTTAAATTAAAAAAAATATATATAGTATATGAAATAAGTGAAATTTCGCTTACATGAAACACTATCATTCTCAAAGTCCAAGTCAAGTCAAAGTCAAAATATGCTTTAGTGTCTGAAGATTAACATCTTATTGACAAAGCATTGTTGAAATAATTTGAGAAACAAATTCACACATAGTAGCTATCGCTACTTGTCAAGTTATAATTACTCGAAAACTAAACACTATAAAATAATATACATTGGCAGGTAGTTGTTGAATAAAATTTCAGGTAGTTATTGAACATATGTACAAAGAAAAAAATAACAAATACATCACTTGCACGAATATAGCCAATAAGAGTTTATTTGGAAAGTTTTCAATATTAATTACATAAAAAGAGTCAGCCACAAGTCGAATCAAAAAGTATCTTGATAGTGTACTCTGATAAATTATAATAGTCTCTCAAAAAAAAATCCTTCAAAACTTCCCTAAAGTTTACGTTATTGCATGCAAATTTCAGATTTGATGGTAGGTGATTGAATATTTTCAAACCATTATAAATGAAAGAGTCTTTAATGAGGGAATATTTCGGAATGGGCAAATTGAAGTCGTTTTTTTGTCGAGTGACGTTTGTGTTAATTGAAAATCGATTTTGATGTTTTGCTATGAGACATATAGTTTCAATAATAAAAATAGATATTACAGTGAGGATTTTCTTTTCCTTGAACAGTGGTCTGCAAAAATCTCGTGGTTTTGCTTTACACAGAAAACGTACAGCTTTTTTCTGTATAACTAAAATTGATTGCAGTGTTGTCAGAGTACAAGCACCCCAGAAAGGAATTCCATATCGTAGATGAGATTCTATGAGAGAGTGATATGTTACTTTGGCAGCAGCAAATCCCAACTCATAAGATGTCAGCCTCACAGCATAAGACCCTGAGGATGACTTTGATTTGATACTCTTGACGTCTTCAAATTTCAAATCAGTGTCAATGGATAGTCCCAGAAATTTGGTTGATGGTTTATTCTCAACAAAGATGTTGTCAATTTGTAAATTGCTGATGGAACAGTTGAAGCAAAGTACCTTCGTTTTTAGAGATATTAAAACTGAGAAGATTTGCGTCACACCATCTTTTTATATTGCTAATATCATGATTTATTACTGTTTCAAGTTCAGAGGGATTTTGATCATGCCATAAAATTGTAGTGTCGTCAGCGAATAGTGTGAACTCTCCTTTAATATCAATAGATGTCAGATCATTTATATACAAAAGAAATAATAGTGGACCTAGGACTGAGCCTTGTGGAACTCCACAGTTTATTTTTCCTTCCTCAGAATAATTAGTCGTTTTAACAATTTGACTACGCTCAGATAAATAAGATTCAAACCAATTGAGACTTACACCTCTTATACCATACTGTTGTAATTTCCGAAGCAGTGTATCATGACTAACACAGTCAAACGCTTTCGATATGTCACAGAACACAGCAGCTGCAATCTCTCCATCATTTAATTTGTTATATAGACTGTACAATAATGAAAAAATGGCATCATGAGTGTTTTTTCTACTCTGGAATCCAAACTGACATTTGTTTAATATCTGGTTTCTCTCGAGAAAATCAACTAGTCTTCTCTTGACTAGTTTTTCTATAATCTTTGCAAGTGTTGTTATTAAAGAGATAGGTCGGAAGTTAGAAGAGATGCCAATATCTCCACCTTTATGGAGAGGAATAACAATAGACGTTTTGAGAAAATTTGGAAAAACTCCTTCTTTATATGAGATATTTATTATGTCAACTAGTACTGATGAAGCATTGTCTGGTAGATTTTCGAAAATATTCAAGGAGATGTCGTCAATTCCTGAAGTGTGTTTATTTTTTATCTCCCTAAAGACTCCTTTCAATTCTGAGAGGTTTGTGTCATAGAATAAAATGGAGGACATATGATGTTTCGAAAGGAGACACATGCCTTATTGCCTCTGGATAATATCACAAGATGAAGCACCCAATTTATTCATAAAATTATAACTTTATATCACGAATTGGTTGAATCCACTCATGTCATCGATGACAATATGTCATCGTATAATGTCATGATGTCATGTATAACATCATTCAATCGTTTGTTTCATTCAATCCCAGCCATTCGAATCTTGTTTAAATTGAAAGGGGTAAAGAAAGAATGGTTTTTGGAAAGGAAAGGTATGTATCCATCATCTTATCCATCTTCATACAAGAAATACGGGAATCTTTCAGTTTATGTCTGATAGTTATTTCTTTGCATTGAATCATTCGCTTTCTTTCTTTCTTTGGAAAAACAAACACAACAATGAGAACAAAGAGTTCATATCAATATTCAGCAATTGAAATTATTTTCATTATTACATGTACAACAGGAGTTGAAAGTTGAATGAAGTATTATTTTATAGCTGTTGACAATGAAATTTTATTTTGTTAAATGCTTCATTTATATTTTTACTTTCGTAATGGTTTCGAAAAACAATAAAAATTTGGAAAATCAAAATTGATAATTTTCAAACAAAGATATTTTCACATTTATTCGATTGAAAATGATGTTTTTGTTCGAGTATCTTTGTCAGTAAAGGCGCGTGGAAGCGACACTTCATTTTTAGTTTCAGGAGCAAGTTTTTTTTCCAAAATATTCTGTTTTTTCAGGTTCCTTTCATATTTCAGATATTTCACATAATTTTGAATATATCCGAAAAGAATCAAACATTTTTTCACTTGCAAATTTTGCCGCCTATTCTTCGAAACTTCCATAAAGTTTCCAGATGCCATTTCGAATGAAATCACACCCGGATCATAATTTTCGTTCTTGGCACTCGTGAACCAGTTTGCCATAAATTTTGATGGTAACAACGGTAAGATAGAAGCCCCTAATACTAACCAGGTTTGAGTTGTCCTTCGATGTCTGCAATACTTCCTTTCTTAACCTTTTCGATGACAGCCCCTGTCATTCCATTCTCCAAAAGTTTTCCGCCAATCACTTTCAATCCTAAAATGGCAGCACCTGATCCCATTGATTCCCTAGAGTTTCTTCTCAATATCATGTGTCCGATCATTTTTGTGCCATCCGTTGAAACTTGCCATGATAGTGGGTGCTATGTTTGGAAATGTTTTGAGTGAAAATTGATAACGTAAAAAACTACATTTACAAAACTGAATAAGCGAGTTCTATTTGCATGCCAAGTTCCTTTGAACCGAAAAGTCATCATACCAGTGTATTACATCCATGTGAAACTGATAGCAAAGTTGAAACTAGTAGAGCATGCATGTTGAATGAAACAAATGATGAATTTTGATTTTTGTATTTTGACTTTGCTATTTTCTTGTGATGCACTGTTTGGTGTAGTAATGCATATTACTGGAATTTTTTTCCCAGCACCAAACCGGTATATTAACACCTCGACACTTGTTTCGATCACCAAGTGATCATCTTCAAGTGGAAGATCAGTTTGACATTCATCTTGAAAGTGATCACTTAGTGATCGAAACACGTGTCGAGGTGCTAAAATAACGGTTTGGTGATGGGAAAGAAACTCGAGTAATATTCACTCTGGTATTTTGGAGAGGCTATTTTATCTCTCTCTCTCTCTCAGGTTTTGAAGTACAAATGCTACAATGCGAATAACAACTTGAATAAGTTTCTTGAGGAATATTTTGATGAAAACCAACGTTTCACAGTATGCCTTGGACACCTCTTTTGTACGGTTGACAAAAATTCTAAGACATATGTTTTGCGTGGTAATCTGTCTGCTAACATTCTTGATGAGGTTAATTATTTTCAATGATTTTCAATGACTTTACACTTGACTCTACTGTACTGACGAAGGCTAAGTAGGCAGAAACACGTGTCTGCGGTTCGTCCACTTCTCATGAGTGCTAGTTCAATAGTTCCAATCATACACAGGGTGTCCCAGAAGTCAAGGTTCAAACTGAAAGGGGTGGAAGAGGAGGTTACACCTGATAAAAAACTTCATATGACACGATTTTTGATTCCCCACGGTTTTCAAGTAATTTTTATTTTTGTTATTTTTGAATAAACTATTCACCTGATAGTCAGAGAAAAACTTTGATCGGCCAAGAACCTCAGAGAGCCTTTTACAGGACGGGGTATACACCAGATCCCTTGTAGTTGATAAGTACCCGGCTTTTCGAACAATAAAGACCAACAAAATATAAATTATAATTTGACATTCTTCAACGTAAAAACGCTACCCCTACCCTCAACCCCCTTCGAATGACAGGTACAACTCAAAATTTTTTAAGTAGGAAGTATACGTTTGTGATATATTGTTTGAAAGGTCTCCTCCATTCTCTATTCAAATATGTTATTGCTTTCAAGTTTATTGCAACAACTAGGATAAAATCAATTAAAATCATGTGTTTACCGAAATTCCATAAAATATACTGAAACACTAAAATGTAATGCAAAACGAAGTAGATGTTCAAAATGATCACAGCGAACATCTTGACAACATCCTAATCTCAAATAAAACTGTCTTCTAACATTATTTAACATATCAGGCGTGACCGACCTAATCGCAAGTGTTATTCATTCTTTCAAGTCATTCAAATAAAGGTTTAGTTTTATACACATTGCTCTTTAGATATCCCCATAAAAAGAAATCTAATGATGAAGGATCAGGTGATCGCTCTGGCTATCAATCGATCCTCACCGATTGGGAAATGTTGTATCGAGGTATTGCCGGACATTGACTTGGTACTAAGGTGGTGCTCCATCCTGCTGATGCTGTTAGAAGACCGGGTTCACCAACTCCTCAGGGAAGATGACGACGACGACGACGACATACGTCCAGCTTCTGTGGAAAAACTGAAACATTACATCAAGGCAGCAAAGGCCAAGAAAGCTCCGGGGGTCGAATCAATAACCAACAAGTTGTTGAAGAGGCTCCCGGAAAACTGCGTTGAATTCCTTTTGAATTTAATCAACAGCTCGTTGGCCCTCAGACACTTCCCCAGAAAGTGGAAACATGCGATCGTCGTCATGATCTCAAAACAGGGTCGGAATCCGCTGTTTCCACAGAACTATCGCCCGATCAGTCTACTCTCGTCGGCGGCTAAGCTGGCTGAAAGAGTTGTTCTACAAAGGCTCAACGAAGAAGTTGAGGACCGAAATGTTCTGCCTGATGAACAATTTGGCTTCAGGAAAGATCCCTCCACTGAGTTATAGGCTCTAAGGCTGGTCGAAAACACCATAAGCGAGCTAAATGCGAACAAAAAAGTACACATAGTGCTATTAGACATCTCGAAGGCCTTCGACCGAATCTGGCACGAAGGCCTTCTGCACAAATTAAACGCGTTCGACCTACCTTGGGGCCTGATCCGGTGGATCGGGTCTTTCCTGAAAGACAGAACTTTTCAGGTCAGAGTAGAGTGCTCTCTGTCTGATAACAGAGAGATCCTCGCCGGAGTGCCACAGGGGGCAGTGCTCTCTCCGACGCTGTATTCTCTCTACACCAGCGATCTACCCAGATCCGAGCGTGTGAAGATATCCATGTACGCCGACAACACGGCTCTACTCTCATCTTATATGGGTCGGGAACTCGGCGTCGTCTACATGCAACGTGCATTGGACGACCTCGAGCGCTGGTACCTTGATTGGAAGATCCGAGTAAACCCGGACAAGACTCAGGCGATAACCATGGGAAGATTACTATCTTCTCCGGCCAGAAAAGTGAGATACTCTGGAAAGGAGATTGACTGGCAAGCGCGGGTAAAGTACCTTGGCCTTCTGATAGACCGTAGGCTCACTTGGAACCCGCACATCATGTGCGTTAAATCAAAGTGACGAGAGGTTTCAACACTCATTCAATTTTTTTGATTTTTTTACGGGTTATATGGTTATACAGGGCCCCCAAAAATATACCCTTGTTATCTTTCTACTTTTCTTAATGAAAATATACCAGGGGTATCGATTAGTCAACTAGTCCCTATTGAATGGGGTTGAATCTCACTTTGGTTTTATCTGATTCTGATTGAGAATTTCCTTTCGTAGGGTTTTTTTTTTGGGTCCTATTTGGTGATCCATTACTGGTCCATCTTGTTGTGCCCTACAGGGTGATCTATTTTGGTGGTGCTACAGGATGATCTATCTTTGCGGTGCTACATCGTTATCAATCTCCGCCGTACTACAGGGTGATCCGCCTTCGTCGAACTACGGGGTAGCCTAACCCCATATACCGGGTGACCCAAGTTATAATTGATTTATTTGAATATTTGTGTAATATTGAGTTATTTAAATAATTGTTTGCCCTTTTGTTTATTGTTACCTGTTTAAATAATTGATCGCCCTTTTGTTTATTGTTACCTGATTGATATAGTGATTGCCTTTCTGGCTGAATTCACCGCTAGTTGGCAACGTGTTTGGTTTCATTTGTAAAACGCAAATTGAGGTGTTGTCTTCCTTTTACAATTGTTTGTTGACACCGATGCGCCTACGCCTGAGCTCACGCGACGCAACCGAGATCGTCTTACCTTACAGTACGGGTATTTACGATTTCGCCCACATCTACTCAATTTTCGTGGTAGTTTCACTTGACGTATTGTAGTTTCTTTTAAGCGTCGTTATTACCTTAATTTATGGCTGATTGAATTTGTGGTTATTTACACCGAGATCTTGTATTGACATTTGAACATCGCGTAGTAGTCTGAATATTGCATTGTTGTCTTAGAAGCGTTGTCGATTAATCCATGTAAGCTAGGATTACTGAATAAATCATGTTGGGGCTCTTTATCTTTTATTTCCAATATTAAATGGTAAGTAATTGATATTGTAAGTTACTTAGGGTATCTGAAGGATCAAATTTACCTGGCGCCCATTAAGATCTATTTGAAACTTGTTGATTTGGTCAACCCACTCCCGTCTCCACTGTTCAGCTTAGCCGCGGATACCCATCTGTCTTATTTGTTACCGACAGATGATTTAGTCTCCTCTTGTGGTTTGTGAGGTGACAATAGAAGGCCCCGACACTCTGTCTAATGAGGCCCTCATGTTCCCCGTTAACGGAAAAATAACTTTTTAATCCATCCCACCCCAGTCAGGTAGGGCTATCCCGTGAAGGACGGCACTGATGTCTTAGGACTTCATACCGCCATCCCCTCAGTTATGAACCCATTGGTCCTTCTCGAGATCAAAAATCAGCCAAAAGGGTAAGGGAGCTGGACTCCAAGCCTGAATGAAACGAAGATGACCTTCCGCCATTCTACTGAAACCAAACTTGGAAATTTGCTATTGTTACCCCTATTCCGAAAAACGAAAATCCCTCACAGTTTTCTGACCTTAGGCCTATAAACATCTTGATGGGCTTATCTAAATTGTTTGAGAAAATTTTAGCCAGTCAACTATCTGAACATCTCAATGAAAATAAAATCTTACCCTCTATTCAGTCGGGGTTCTGAAAGGGACATAGTTGCACGACGGCTCTTCTACAAGTAACTGATGATATTATTGGATCACTTGATAAAAATAATTGTACAGTATTGGTAATGCTTGACTTTAGTAAAGCGTTCGATACGGTTAGGCATGATACCTTACTAAAGATCTTGAAAACAAGTGGAGTCTGTACGGAATCACTGCAGCTTTGTCAATCATATCTCAACAATCGTGGACAAAGCGTCAAATTGGGAAATCAATTATCTGCAGCTAGAAATGTCATCTTGGGAGTACCTCAGGGCTCAGTTCTGGGACCACTTTTTTCCACACTTTATACTAGCCAATTTCATAAACATGTTGAACATTGTAAAATACACATGTATGCTGATGACATACAACTATACCTCCCTCTTGAAGTTTTTGACTTGAAGAACGCTGCTAGAAAGTTGAACAATGACTTAGAAACCATATCAAATGTTGCCGAACTGCATTCCCTTGTGCTCAATCCAAAAAAATCAGTAGCACTAGTATTTGGAAGCAATGCTCATGTAGCATCAGTTAAAAATAACTTGAAACAGTATCTGAATAATGAAGTAATTAGATTTGAAAGTAATGCAAAAAATATTCGTTTAATTTTAGATGAGTCTTTAAGATTTAGAGAACATATCAATCGAAATATTCAGAGAGCCTATGGTGCACTACGAT